AAATCCTCTGCAAATCTGGCTTCTGACCCCATCATTCAACTAAACCAGCTCCCTCTGAAGTAAGCAATGATCTCATATGTGAAAAATCTTTTTGGCCTTTTAAACCTTTTCTCAATACTCATTCTTCCTGACCTCTCTGCAGCCTTGGACAGGCTCGCTCGCCATCTCCTCCTATATACTATTTCCTCTTTAGGTTTTTGTTGATGCTGTTCCGCTCCTGGTTTTTCTCCAACCTGACCACTCCTTCTTCTTCTTTGCTAGATCTTCATCCAGGTCACACCCATTAACCCTGGGCATTCACCAAGGTTTTGTCCTGTGACTCCTCTCTCTATACTTATCAGTTCCCATGGGTTCAATTATCATCTCTAGGCAGATGATCTACAGTATAAATCCACTCCCATCCTCTCTCCTGAACTCCAGTCTACCATCACTAACTGGCCTTTCGATATCTCGAACTGAGTATCTCATAGATATTTCAAACTCAGCATGTCTAAACCTTATCTTTGCCCCCAAAACCCTTCCATCTTTCTGTCACTAAGGACATTTCTGACATTAAGGACACTACCAGCCTCAGAACCATCCAGGCTTACAATTTTGGTGTCAACATCAACTTCTCTCTCAAACTCACTCTACATATCCAATCTATTGTCTAGTCTCATTGTTTCTACCTTCGCATTTCTCACATAGGTGCCGTTCTCCCCACTCATACAGCCTCCACTCTGGTACAGGCCCTTGTCACCTCATACCTAGGCTGCTGCAATAGTCTGCTAATTGGTCTTCCTGCCTCAAGTCTCTCCCTACTCCAATCCATCCTCCATTTAACTGCCAGAAAGATTTTCCTAAAATACAAATTTGACCATATTACCTCTTCCCCCTCCCCAACAAACGAGCTCCAAGGACTTCTTATCATCCCTAGGACCAGAAACAAAGTCCTCTATTTGACATTAAAAGTTCTTTACAGGCTAGCTCCTTCTTATCTTTCCAGTCTTCTTATACTTTAATCTCCTCCATATACTCTGTCTTTCAACTCTGGGTCTTTTCATTTATTTTCCCCCACTCCCGGAAATGCTCCCACTTCTTGGCTTCATTGGCTCTTATAAGATTCAGCTCAAATCCCATCTTCTACCTGAGGGCCTTCCAAGTCCCTGCTATGGTTAGTCCCTTCCCTCTGAGATGCCCTTTTGAAAATTCACAATTGTTATTGTTTAGTTGTGTCTGGCTCTTCATGAGCCCATTTGGGGTTTTCTTAGCAAAGATACTGGAGTGGTTTGCCATTTCCTTCTCCAGCTCATTTTACAGATGAGGAAATTGAGGCCAACAGGGTTAAGTGACTTGCCCAGGGTCACACAGCTAGTAAGTGTCTGAGGCTAGATTTGAACTCACAAAGATGAGTCTTCCTGACTCCAGGCATGATGCTCTGTGCATTATGGAGCCACCAAGCTGCCCCCCCTTCACACTCTTTATATGTACATAGTTGTCTTCATATTGTCTCTCCCATTAGAATGTAGTTCACTAAGGAAGCAGGGATAGTGTTTCTGCCTCTCCTTAAGTCCCTGGTGCTTAACACAGTTCCTACCAGAAATGGGGCGCTTAACAAGTACTTGTTGACTGTTCACTTTTCTTACAAAGCAGTGTTAAGATGGGAAGAATGCTAGATTTGGGGCAGAAGACAGACCAACAGCCCTGGAGTTCAAATATGGCCTCAGACACTAATCGTGTCACCCTGGACAAGTCACTTCACCCTGACTGCCTCCAAAAAAAAGATGCTAGATTTGGAGTCAGAAGATCCTGGTTCAAGTCCTTGTAAGTAAGTAGCTTGGCTACCTACTACTTGTGTGACCCCTAAGAAAGTCACTTAATTTCTCTGGGCTGCAGTTTCTTCATCTGTAAAATGAGGAATCTGGACCAAGATTCCTTCCAGCTCTAAACTTATGACCTCATTCTTTTGTCCCCAGTTACTGCTCTTCTTTCCCTACGCATTTGCTCAGTTCTTTCTGCTCCTTCTCTTTACCAGTTCTGCCCTCTATTCCAGGCTCTCATGCCTCTTCTTCCTTTTCACTGAGTCTGCCTTCCTCCACACAGCAAACTTCTTTCCACTACCAACCATTCTAATGAATTTATCCATAGTCCATTTTATTTTAGCAACCCAATCCAAATTCTACCCCAACAAGGTGAATCAATTCACAAACATTTATTGAGCAAATCTGTCATGTGCTAGGCACCATAATACATGAGAATTCAGCACTGGAGAATCCAGCCTGTCTTAATTAGCTTCCATTCCAAAGCCTTGTGGGTGGTCCTGGGACAAATCTAGGTTCTTCCAGGGTGTCTGTCAACAAGGGTCACTCACAGGATTTTTATGAAGCAAAATTTAAAAGACCACCAAGAAATCAGAAATCCTTCCCATCTTCTACCATAGCACCTTCAAGGTGGTCAGAAGGCAAAGTGGGACCAAAGGACCAGGGACCAGGCTCTTTTTCTTTTCCTCCAAAGTCTAAGGAAGAATGTTTAGGTTTCATGGTAGAGATCCTGAGGTGTGTCATCAATCAATAAATACCAAGAAGCTATTATGTCATCCTCTGTATGTACTCTGCAAGGTCAATTGTAGGGAAATTATAAGATAAGAGATTTAAAGCTGGAAGGGCCCTTAGATGTAATCTAGTTCAGCCCCTTTATTTTACAAATGAGGTCACTGAGGCCTAGAATGTTTAAGATCACACACATTAAGTGGCAGAGTCAGAATTCAAACTCAGGTCTTCTGACTTCACTTTACCAGGCTATTCCCTATTCTCAAAAAGCAATCCAGTAGGAGAGACAAGACTTACACGTGAAACAATCAGAGAACAGTATTAAAAAGTATATAATTAGTTGCCTAATTCACTTCAAAAATACTCATTCCAAAAAAAAAAGGGGGGATTTAGAACCAAGTAAGTGTCTACCCAAATTTCTGATACTAAAAATAGTAATAATGATTGGCCTTCTGAGTCGAGAATGACTTGAGTGCAGTGACCCTTAACCCCATTAGGATTCCTATCTGGCTCAAAAAGTTCACCTCATATGCATGTGTGGTACTATCTCCCCTCCACACGCTCAGCTGAGGTGCCAAAGTCCGAAAGATATGTTTCATGTCCAACAGCTGTTTAAGCAAAAGTATGGGGTCAAATCCATAGCTAAGAAAAAGTTTAGACTTCTCAATCAAAGTTAGGCTCTGGTGATAAAATATACAAATCCTTTTTGGCATGCATTAATGATTGAGTACAACAGGTGCCCATCCCTATATATGGAACGGAGGTCACATTTAGAAGAACATCTGAAGGATTTTTAACCATATTTGAACACAGGCTCTCAATCTTCAAACATGTCAAAGACCAATGACATACCTAGAGAATCTTGTTTCTATACAGTTCCTGTTTCAGTAACAGGCTCTGCCAGAAATTAGCCTCAATTTCTTTATAAGTAAAGTGAAGGGGTCAGTCTATATGATCTCTTCAAGTCTGGTGTGGCTCTTGCTTCCTGGGATTCTAGGATGTGAATTTTTTTGAGGACCCTCTGTGGATAGATACCACATCTTAGACATTATGGGAAATTTCAAAGGAAGCAGCACATTGCCTTCTTATAATCATTGACCCCAGAACTGGAAGTAATCTTTAGAGGTCATAACATCTGCCCCTTGGCCTTCAGGAAAATAAGATCCTTAGTCTCATTTTGTAACCCAGGCAACCAAGGCCCAGATTGATAAACAACCAACTTAAGACTGGCAAAGCATTTTAAATACATGATGGCATTTGAGCCTCACAATTACACTGTGAGACTGGGGCCATGATCCTCATTTTACAAATAGTTACTAAGTGTTAGAGGTGAGCCTTGGTCCTACTCTCTCCTGATGCCAAATCTAGTACTTTGTATCAGGCCTAACCTGTCTGCCCAAGGTTACCCAGTTTGCCATGGCACATTAGGGACCAAAACCCAAGTCTGCTGCCTCCTAGAATAGTCCTATTTCATTATAAATTTGTTTTAAGCTTTTAATGTTGCACTTCAAATTTTCTCCTCGTTTTGTACAGAATGGAAGTACTAAGGGAACCTATGTTTGGTTTTTCTAAATATTCAAGGGGGAAAAATAATGTCATCTTTTCCAGATGGTAACTTATTTAACTACCAGGGCAAAGTGCCCTGCCTGGCACTGGCTTTGATGCCCAGTTGACTACTCCCTCCATACTTGTTTTACGGCATTGTCTCTAGGTGGGAGGAAGTAAGTGTTCACTGCAGCCAGCAGGCAGAATATGCCACAAAATAGCCACCACTTGGGCATCCCACTTAAAGCAGCATTTTTCCCATAGGAAGAGACACCTGGAAAATAATCGCCCAAGAAGTAACAGAATGCCTGTGTATCCTCCTCGGGGTTGATGCCTATGTTTTCTGGCAGATGGCAATGACAATTTACGCTCACTAGTAACCAATGATTCAGACCCCTGGCCTAGAAGGCAAAACTTCCATTGGCCCCTCACAGTCCTCTCTGGAATCTTCATTATTTTGAATGTTCAGCTAAAATACATATCCTACCCACTCTTTCAGAAACTTTGGTGAAAGATTCTGTGTGTGTGTGTGTGTGTGTGTGTGTGTGTGTGTGTGTGTGTTCAGGCTTCTGAGGCATCACTTCATCAGCTGTGGAGTGAGATGTGGCAATGATTTCCCAGCAACATGAGGCAGTAGGAAGGACTGAAAGCAAAGAGTATCCTCTCCACACCCCACCCCCATGTCTTCGAGTTTTCACTGCCATGAGACTGCTGGTAGGCATGAGATAATTACCAGCCCTGGAACCCAGCCATGATTCCCCTAGCAGCATTCTGGGCCCCAACAGAAATAGCACGGAGGCCTCCTAAAGGTACTTCCCTTCGGGCCACTCCTTTGAAACTTCTCTGCCATGGGCTCAGCACTGCCTCCCAGTGACAGCTCCATCAGCCTCATTTTCAGGGCAGTCTGAGCTAAGAAGGGCTCTCTGGGCCAAGTAACTAGTCTGCACAAATGGCATGGGCTGTGAGGAAGATTTTATCTGTGGGCAGGAGTGAAGAGGCTTAGATGACTGAAGGTGACAGCCAGAACTATAATGAAAAGGGACACGAGTACACCTCTTGTTCAGGAAGACTGGCCAACTGCATCCTTTCTCTGTTCCAGCAAGCCTCTTAGTATTTCATAATGCATTCAAGATCACCAAGTGGAAACACGTGCAATTTTTTTCCCCTTGAGCAGAGAAAAATAAAAGGAGCCAGCTACTTCTTAGAGCTTTAGCTTTAAGTGAATTCCTTTGGTCCTTCAGAAGACAGGACACCCTACTGACAGGGTCTTGCCTCATATACCTTCTCCTTTGCAAGGCCCTCCCCCAGCCTCCTCCTTAATGGGTCTTGATTCACCAGGGCTCTCCCCAACCTCCTTCTTCTTGGTGTGTTTCGCTTCTTCAGGATCGCCTAGATCACAAAGGGATGGGGAGGTTCACCAGTGTTCTTTGATGAGTGGAGTCTCTTCAATGGTCAGCCCAAGCACCATGTTTTCTGAGGATCCTTCCCTGATCCACGCCACCTCTTCCTTGTGAGATCCATCTCCCTCCATGATTTTCTTTGTATTACTCCTAGATGTGTCTGTGTTATATATGACCTCCTGCAGAATATAATCCAGCAAGCAGGCATTTTATTTCTGTCATTGTATCCCTAGTCCATGCTTAGCACATGATAAGAACTTAACAAATGCCCCTTGAATTGAATTAGATTAATACATCACTTCAATCAAACTACTGGTCTGTACATTTTGACAAAATTAACATATATTTTGACTAAATTAATATATATTAATTAATGTGTCATTTTGGTTAAACCACTGGTTTACATATTTTGACTGAATTAATGCATATTTTGACCAAACTAATGAACATTTTAGATGAATTAATGTTTGCTTCAGTCAAGCCAATAGTAAATTGATTTAAATCAGTCATTTAACAAATTTCCCTCCTTTGGAATTAGCAACATGAAGAAATGGGCACTGACTCTAAATTCAAATATCAGTAGCAGATCTACCACAAATAGTGGAGGAGGTACTGGGCCTAGAAAGATAGTCAGGAAGTAATGTACTGGTAAATATTTAACAACCAGCTGGGGGAGGAAGAAGTACTCTCAACAGACTTTTATATCTAATCTACATCATTATCATTTTCTACACTTTTAAAAACTGAGATAATCAACAAAACAATAATTTAGGCTCTGATATGTAGCATTTGCTGATTTTCAAGATGTAAATGCTCACACTGAAAATTTAACAATCAGTTCTCCTGATAAAGTTTAAGCTCTGCCTTGTATACCCTTGCATCCTAGAGAAAGTTTTGGTGATTATAATCAGTCATGGGTCACCTCCTCTTCATGTTTCCTACTGGGATAATTACAGGCTGTTTCTTTCAAAGAATGTTCTATTTTCTACATAGGTACTGCCTTATTCCTGGATGTTGTTCAATAAAAGTGAAAGATGGGGAGCCTCAGGGGCACACTTAGGCATAAGGCTTTCACAGTTGATCATCATTACAACATTGCTGTTACTTTGCACAATGGATCTTTCCATTCTTTTCACTTCTCTTTGCATCAGTTCATATAGGTCTTGCCATGTTTTTTCTGAAACCAACCCTCTAATCATTTACCACGTTACAATAGTACTCCACTGCAATCTCATGCCACAACTTGTTCAGCCATTCCCCAACTGATGAGAAACCCCTCAATTTCTAATTCTTTACCACCACAAAAAGAACTTCTATAAATATTTTTGTACATATAAGTCTTTTCCTTTTCCTTTGAGCTCTCTGAGATACAGACCTACTAGTGGTATATACTCAGTCAAAAGGTATGCATAGTTATTTAGCCCTTTGGGCATGGTTCCAAATTGTTCTCCAGAATGGTTGGACCAGTTCACAATTCCACACCAACAGTGTATTAGAATCCCTGTTTTTCCAATTCCCCTCTAACATTCGTCACTTTCCTTTTCTGGGATGTTAGCCAATCTGACAGGCACAAAATGATCCCTCAGGGTTGTTTTAATTTGCATTTCTCTAGTCGATAGTGATTTAGAGCATTTTAAAATATGATTATAGATAGTTCTGCCTATACCCTTCAACCCAATAATACTACTAGTAGGTCTATTTCCAAAGATGATAGGGAAAGAGGAAAAGAACCTATATGTTCTAAAATATTTATAGCAGCTCTCTTTGTGGGGGCAAAGAATGGAAATTGTGAAGATGCCTGTCAATTGGGGAGTGTTTGAACAAGTTGTGGTATATGATCATGACGGAAAACTACTGTGCTATAAGAACGATGAGGTTGATTTTAGAAAAACATGGATCAGCTTGCATGAAATAACACAGATTGAAATGAGCAGAACTAAGATAACATTGTATACAATAATAATATTGTTTTAAGAACAACTTTAAGGGACTAAGTCATTTTGACTATTATAAATACCCAAATTAACTACAAAGGACATATGAAAGAAGATGCTATTCGCATCCAGAGAAAGAACTGATAAATAGAAATATGCATAGGATTATTTTACATATATAAATATATTTGTGTCTAATGGTAGCCATCTCTGGGGGGAACGGAGGGAAAAGGAAGAAAAAAAGAAATTAACATGATAATTTTATTATATATTTAAAAGGAATAGCAAGTTGTACATAATAGATTTGTAGTTTCATGTGCAATCATCTTTTCTTTATTCTATATGTCACAGAAATGCTTGTTTTATTTTATAAATTAGAAATGAAATAGATAATTTTTTAAATTTCCCCAGTTTTCTACTTTTCTTATAATTTTGGCTGCATTGGTTTTGCTTGTGCAATAATTTTTTAACTTCATGTAATTAAAGTTACCCATTTTAATTCCAGAGATCCCCTCTATTTCTTGTTTGATCATAACCTCTTCCCTTATTCATAGACCTGACAGGAAAAGTTTTCCGTAACCCCCAAATTGCTTATAATATCACCCTTTATGTCTAAATCATGTACCCACTTTCCTTTTTATCATTCCCCTTTTTTAATCCTCTTCCCCTCCTACTTTCCTGTTGAGTAAGAGAGATTTCTATACAAAACTGAACATGCATGTGTATGTGTGTGTGTGTATATGTGTGTGTGTGTATATGTGTGTGTATATATAAGTATGTATATATATATATATATGTATATATATATATATATATATATATGTATATATATATATATATATATATATATATATATATATATATATATATATATATATATATATATACACTTCCCTCTTTCAACCAATTCTAATGAGATTGAGGTTCAAGTATTGCCCACCCTCCCCTCCTATTTTCCCCTCCACTATAAAAGCTCTTCCTTATATGCCTCTTTTATGTGAGACAATTTTCACAATTCTTCCACTCCCAGTTAATCCTTCTTTCTCACCCCTTCTCTTTTTTTTAGATCATCCCAATATAACCAACTCATACCCATGCCCTCTGTCTATACAGACTTTTTCTAACTGCCCTAAAAATGATAAAGTTCTTAGGAGTTACATATATCATGTAAAGAATTTAACCGTATTAAGTTCCTTATGATTTCTCTTTTTTGTTTACCTTTTTATGCTTCTCTTAAGTCTTCTGTTTGAATGTCAGATTTTCTCATTAGCTCTGGTCTTTTCATAAGGAATGCCTGGAAGTCCTCTATTTCATTAAATATCCATATTTTTCCCTTAAAGGATTATACTCAGTTTTGCTGGGTAGATGATTGATGGTTATAACCCTAGATTCTTTGCCCTCCAGAGTATTATATTCCAAGCCCTTCACTCCTTCAACATGAAAGCTGCTAAATCTTATGTGATCCTGACTGTTGAATTCTTTCTTTCTGGATGCTTGCAATATTGTTCCAATCCCAGTACCACAGGACTCTACTTACAACCTCCTAAGTTGTCTTGGGCTGCAGGCATCTCACCTCAACCTTTTATTGGCCATGCCATTCCAGAATTTAAATTGACGCATTATTTTATCATTAGGACTCAAATATCAGGATGATTTAGCTAGGTTACTGCCATCTTGGTTCCGTGTCAACATGTCTTATCAATAACATTGTAAAGAAAGATCTTAGCCAATGGAATGTCACCAATGTCACAAAAATGAAGATCAAGTTCCAGTTTTTAAAAACCAAAGGAATGGGGCATACATATTGCAAACTATAGGGCAGTACATGTGACTTTTATTCCTGGAAAAATTCTAGAATAAATTATAAATGGTTAATAAGCATTTAGGAAGGAAAATAATGATTGCCAAAATTCAGCATGATTTCAAAAACAGGCCATGCTAGAATGACCTTATTTACCCTTTTGACAAGGTAGCTAGATTTGCAGTTAAGGGAAAATCTATAGATATTTTTAATTTAGATTTCAGCAAAACATTTAACAATTTTTCATGGTGTCTTAGTGGACACATTAAAGAAACGTGGACTAGATGACAGAAACCTAGCTAGATTTAGAACTGCTCAAATGACCAGACCAAAGAGCAATCATCAATGGGTCCATGTTCATTTGGAAGGTGTTCACTAGTGGACTAAAGCAGGAGACAATGTCCTTCCCCCCACCCTGTGAGCAGAGCCCAACTTTAACATAAAGTTAACATATCTGTCTGTAGACAGATAGATAAATAGATATACACACATACATATTATCAATAAGTGGATGAATGTATAGAAGGCATACTTATCATATTAGCAGACGACAATATAGCTGGGAGAGATAGTTAAAACCTTGGATGACTGAGTCAAGAGCCAGAAAGATCTTCACAGGCCAAAATAATGAACCAAATCTATAAAGATGAAATATCACAGCAACAAATGTAAAGTTGTACACTTGATTGTTGTACAACTACCTAAGTCCAGGACAGGGGAGGCATGGCCAAACAACAATCTTCCTGAAAAAGAGCATGCAGTCTTAGTGTAATACAAACTAAACATGAGTCAACAGTGTAACATGAAAGACTTAACAAAATCCTAGGCTTCGTTAGTATCCGTTTTAAGAGCGGTGACTGTTCTCCTACACCTCGACCTACTCTTACAACTCCATTATTGTTCTTAGTTCTGGATGCCTCATTTTAGGAAAGACATTGACCAGAAAGTGACCAGGAAAGTGAAACAATGGGAAGCCATGCCATATGAAGAAGAGCTGAAGGAATAAAAGATCTTTCTTGGGGAGAAGAAAAGACATAGTGATTAACTAGCATACATATTTTCCCATATCTGGAAGGCTATCATGTGAAAGAAAGCTTAGATTTATTCTTCTTGGTCAAAGAAAGAAGAACTGGGAATAGCAGACAGACATTTCAGAGAACCAGAACCAGGCTCGCTAGAAGGAAAAACTTCCTAACAGTCAGAGCTGTCTCAAGGTGATATGAGATACCTTACTAGGTCATTTGCAGGACAGGACATCAATCAGTCTCAGTGCAGATTGCCTGCCACTAGATAATTTCAATTAGAAGTTAGATGATCACTTGTCAGTGATATTATAGATCACATTTTTGGTCCAATTAAGGTATGGGAGAGAAGCTGCAAATCTTTCTTACACATTTCAAATGTCGTACTTTTCATTTTAGTTATCTGTGTGTCTTTCATAGCT